ACACAGCTTTCTTAAAAAGTGGTCCTGTGTAACCTTTCAAATACAAATCTTTGACCACGTAACATTGGTTGTTGGCAGTGGCTTGGCAATTATTGTCTCTCTACTGGACATGCACAAGGTCTTCGATGGTGTGCCACATAAACCTTTGCTGTCCGTCCTGCACTTTTATGCAGTTAGCAACCCATTGTTAAGCTGGTTTAAATCCTACGTAGAAGATCGGACACAGAGCGTTAAAATAGGCCATTAACTCTCCTCCTCAAGAGAAGCTGCAAGCGGAGTTGTTCAAGGCAGTGTCCTTGGATCACGACTCTTTCTAATGCATATAACTACCATATCTGATTTCATCAAAGATGGGCGATCATGCCTCTTTGCGGACGATATTAAACTCGTTTACTCATTTCCACCGGATAGCCTTGAGTCGGGCCTTAAGAACTTACATGAAGGCTTATCTGCTCTGGACTCTTGGAGTAAAAATTGGTCCATGAAATTATCCGTCGAAAAGTCGCAAGTGCTTAGGTATGGCTGCATCACCCTAGCAGGTACAAACATCCCAACCCCCTCTTCAGTTAGGGACTTTGGAGTAATATACTCCGCATCGCTGAACTTTTCCGAGCATGTTTCATATCAGATAGCAAAGTCAGGGTTTTTGAAAACCTGTATAACCGAATCCTTTGTTCTGTCTGAAGCGAGACTGGAACTGTTAAAATTATTGTGAGACCTATGCTGAAGTACTGCATACTTATCCTTAACCACATGCGTAGAACGGATCGAATAGATTGCTTTAGAAAACATTCAGCCTTCTTTCACGAAGCTCCTTATTGTCCGGTCCACCACTCTGAACTAAGAAGACCGCTGTCGTCGCCTCAAACTAGACCCTCTATAGATGCGCCGTCTGAGAAATAAACCAGTTCTCTTTTATAACATTATACATTGCCGGGTGTACACGACCGGGATAGCTCTTTGCAAAATTCCTCAACCTATCGCGCAAGAAATAAGGGTTACTCAGGACCCGTAAACAAAGGGGAACTTAAAAATTCGCTCCAGTGTTTTCCTTATTAACTACACACACATATGATACACTACCGATGAAAGTACGGGCAAGTGGGAACCGAACCAAATTTAAAATGAACTTGGGAGCTTTACTCACCATGCAGAACATAATGAAAACATTCGGTTTTCAAGTGTCTACAGATGTATAAATTTTCTCAGGTTCGGAGAATGTGACCTATAGTGCAGGTTCACCACACTTCAGTCTACCTTGAATTTCTGCTCGAAAATACCACTTGTAGGTGGCGAGACGAATAGATGTGTATACCTTGCTTTAACATTCCTTCGTATGTTGAAAGTATTTTTCTCTCTTATGGCATCGGGATAATTTGCATCATCTATTGCTTATTGGAAAAGGAAGGCAAGTCATTAATAACGCTACCTGTTATTCTGAATTGCTGCAATATTTTATCACACCCAATCATATGGTATCCGGCAATATCGCGAGACATGTTATTTGGTTACTTATTTCGTTGATATTTCTACCCCCTAATTTAACTATTTCATCTTATTCTCCTGTTACTCTCTTGATCACGAGTGTGCCGATCTCGGGAGGTGATGTTTTGAAACTTTTGTGCAACATGTATATCCACGCCAAAAGACTCACATGTGGATGTAAAAATTGTGCGGAAATTAAAGAGAACATTCCAATCTGAACTCACGATGGCATACGACGCCAACCGGTGATCAGGCACGCCAAAAACAACCATCAATGGCGAAAATGCTGACTCGCTTGAGTAGCTCAACAAGGAAGGAAAATTGTCCGTTATGAATAAAATTGATAGTGGCCATCGTTCTTTTAAACCACAGGGACAAATGACCAGAGGGCTTGTGGATGTGCGGGTGAAACCTCTTGAGGGACTGCCCCGCATTGAAAGTCCCCGGGAGACGGTTCCACAAATGACTTTATTACTTCACTTGTTCTTACCCTACATCAGTCCGCACTGTATCTGTTGTGCCTCTGGTTCCTAGTTAATTCAACCTTACCGTCTCACTGTCTTAGCGATATTTCCTGTTGACTTATTACTTAGACCTTTCCTGGGTTTTAGTTTTGATGCCTATTCTCTCTACCTTTATACCAAAAATCGGATATTTATTGCACACTTTCTTAAGCACAATGTCTTTGGCATCTTCTATCAGACAACGATGCACTGAATAAGTTCTGACTTAATGTAGCCTTTTCCTTATTTTCACAACTCCCTAACTTGCTACTCACAAATTAAGTAATATTGCGCATTACTCATCTGACTTTTATTGTGAATCGAACTGCTTCATCCTTTTCATAGTCCCCCCCAACAAACCACCATCACGGCATAACCAAGCTACATCGAAAACAATCGAATGAGAATACCCGAGAACTGGTAACATATGACGACAAAAGTCTCAAATGAAATTATTCGCGAAATCATGTCTATTGTAACCCTGTAAAATCCCAAACAATTGATAGTCTCGCATGCCTGAGCATGTTGCAATGTAAATATGATCCGTCCCTTCGTGGGCTCGGTCTCTCGGTGCCACGAGAAATAGACTTTATTTTTAGTTTCAATATCGGGTGCACACTGTTGTGTGTAGTTATGGTAACTACTTGCATTCGTTGTTTATTACATCAAGTTAGCTATCATGCACATTTTACTAATGCTCACAACTCTGTATTTGGTAGAGAATCGAATTTGCTCAATACATGCTTCAGACTACTCAGGTGCCATGTTATGGACGACGTACTGCATTCGCCCGCCGCACCTTTTTTGCCTACCATAGGAAACCGGTCAGTCGTTTCCAAAAATTCTGCTTAACAGAGAGGAAATTTACAAACAAATGAAATAGTAGCTCATGACATTACCACAGAAAGTGGTCCGAAATATCACTAGGATTGTGGATCCGTTTCAATCGAAATATCACGAATTCATTATTAATCACTCCTGAGTATGCGTACGGGAGTGAAATAACAGTGTTGAAGTAATACTTGAAGAGCGACAGTACTCTTGTACAGAAGCTGCAATAGTTAGACTTGGTGGTTATATTGTTCCTGACAAAATAGCTTGACTAATAATTTCTTGAATTACGAGATTTCATATATCGATTAGCGGTTAGACAAATGAAAAATCAGCGACGCAACATGAGTGCTTGTGATAAGCACACTGGAGCTGATGAGTGTTTAGTGGATGGTACGGTGTAAAGCATAATGACGCCGCTGCCTAGAATCAAGTGGTCGCTTCCACCGAGTCAGTAATGTGTGGGAACCACGCGTTAATGTTGATGAGTAATATGTTTAAAAATCGCAAGTTTTTAGTATACGAACCGTTCACACTCGGGTGTCTGCAATGAGAGGCACGAAGGGAGTTAAAATACTGGATCCCTTAGCTGTTCCATGTCTTCGTTCACCGCACATTTGTTTTATAGACGGGTTCAGTGATCGATGAGGAAATAATTCACACAGTTATCCAACCCGGTCAGTTTCATTATGGGGAAAGATAATTGATCCCGAGATTTGAGGCAGGTGATATTTGGTCAGCTAGAATCCAATGAAGAATACAGCAACTAGTGGGCGGTGGGTTCAGATCACTGACACATCTGAGTTATGAAGATGTTAAACGACAGCCACTTCGGTATGAACTACGACGCCTTCAACCGGCAGAGAAAAACCCATGTAACACGAAGATAGAAACAGTATCCAGTAGATTGTCTTCTTATCTGCTTGACATCTGCAGTGATGAATTGGACATCACGTCCTCTACACAGCATGGCTTACAGAACGGACGTTCTTGTATCAATTACCTGCCAGACGCAAGAGAAATATCGACAAAAATCAATCGGTGCCGGTAAACGGTTGGATACTGTCCGTAGGTTTTAGCAAAGCATTCGACAACGTCCCATATCAACGAGTATTCTGCAAGCCCCGCGAAATTGGCGTCAGTGGCTATCTTTATTCCTATATCGCGGATATTCTAGATGAAAAATGGAAGCCGGTGCAGCCAGCCAGTGCACATGACCAAAGGAGTTTGTACTTGGTCTTGAACTTTTCATGCTTTTCATTAACGACCTTTTTGGATTACTTCATGATGAACGTCCAATCTATTCAGCTGACAATCTATGGTCCGAGGTACCGTACCTTGATGCCGCTAGATTTACTACACCAATGGTCCATCATCAAATGGGGCTTACCGATAAATTATGAAAATATTGTGTTCCTTCGATCAGTGCATCTGAGCCATTCGGTGCTTACCATACTGATGGCTTACTTCTCAATGATGCAGTTTAAGACTTAGGTGCATTAGTAGCCTTTAACCTAGAGACCACCCAGGAGACGCTGAGAATCGCTACTGATAACATGGGATGCTCTGTTATAAGGTTTATCGAATGACTCCGGATACTCCCAGGACTCTGTTTACGTATGCCCAATACTCGAGTATGGATTGTCAGAGGTTCTTGCAATCACAAAACTTGAATTTGGCTTTTTGTTTGTCTCTGGATTTCGAAAACTCTCCTAACTCCGGCTACAAAGGTTGGAATACCGTCGTCGCCGCGGGAACCTCACCTTTACCAGGCAAATACTAAGGAGGGAAATTGAAAACGAACTACAACAGATTTTCCAGCCCCACACAAGACATTCGAGGTCACAGTTTAAGCTTTATGAATCTAAAAGGCTCCATGTTTACTTTGCTGTCCCAGTCCACCAGGATGACTAACGACTGGAACCGTCTTCCGGAGAAGGTTATCAGTGCTCAGTCTAAGGAATATTTCAAGCGGCTGTTGGATTGACACTTACGTGAGACATCAGGGTTGCAGCTCTACTGCGACCAGCGCAGTCAACTGGGACCTCTGGCCGCAATGACACCAACCTGTTCTGAACTGGAGGGACTAACATGGGACCTCACTCTGCAATTCAATAAACTCAATGAACTGTAGAGTAGAGGCGATTCAGGCTGTTACTAAGAAACGAAAACAATTCACTTCTCAATATAACTAAGGTATATATAAATTCAAATGTATACAAAACTGGTAAATCTACCTAACGACCAGGGAAAATGGAAAAACGCTAGCGAGTGACCGATAGCGTGAAAGGAATAATAGGTCTCTAAAACATAGTAATAACAATGGACAAAAAATTAAGCAAAGTACTCTGTGTGAAATATATTATACCAGAAATCTGAATTTGGAGTCACGTACCCATTACAGTGTTCGTGGGAACTGGCCGCTCTTCACTAAACACAGTGAATCTGGGACAAGGGTGGTGGAATGGAGAAAGTAGCAATTTTTTTCGAATGGACAAAATCCGGTGTGCACAAAATTGGCACATAATCTGGTGCGATATTTCGGGTGTGCTTGGGGATGCAACAATTCACCAGGACCATGCGCGAAGTGGCAGTTTTCTCCAAGGGGACAGCGCCTGTTTTTCTGATAGTGTAAACACGGCTGCGTTTTATATCTTGCGTTATAAATCGCATCCTCTTTCTTTGGAACATGTTGGCGCTTCGGTAACAAAACCTTTCCCATATCATATGTATGTTCATTTGTTAGATAACTGTCTGTGGGGCAAGAGTGAGGACGAATCGGCAGATGTGTGATTGCGGCTTCCTCCTTTTGCCTAAGTAACGGACGAAGTTTGGTAATCTGACGTACAGGAGCGCACAAAGGAAGATGACTGCGTACAATGTCTGTTGTAACACGTTGAGCACCATTCAACATGCTTCTCTTCTCTAGCAGTGCAATAGATGGATGGTACAGCCTTGCAGAAGTACAATACAGCGCATCCTTCTTGTTTGGGTAGGAAGTTATCCACATGCCGCTCTTTTGAGGAATTCCATAACCTGTGATCTTCACATCGTTGAACGCACCATCTGTGTATGCAGCCCAGGCGCTTTCCACCATTGATGCCAACTGTTCATGGAGGGGCTTATTTGTGGACCATGACATAATAGTGAAATGATGGAGACGTTGAGTGGGATGGCGCGCGCATCACCGTGTGCGCATCCGCGGTCTGCTCACCAATAATTAAACCGGATCATTGAACTCCAAGGTCATGAATCACGTCCTTTCATTGGTGGATTAGACTACGTAATGCTTCTGACCACCGATGGATAAAATGATGGGTCGGGGGATTATCAAACCACTGTTCAGTTACCGGGCTCCTTAACGTCGATTGATTTTGGTGGGAAAACTGCCACACCAGTAGTTACTACCTTGCGTGCTGCAAGCATGAACCTGATGGTTGGAATCAAGTTAGAGTTACTAAAAGGCGCCAGGCCATAGCACCTGCTAAGCCGTGGGTTTTGGCGCTCCTTTAGCGCTGGAAGTCTTGTCTGCAACCTGGATTCGCCATTATGTGTCGCCATCAAAATGTTGGTGTCTTAGACTCCTGGTCATCCGATTGCATATATGCCTGCCTAATCGGTGATCATGGTGGCAGCGCGTGTCTTCTTTGATCACAGAGTCTGAAAGCAGTCATTCAATCCAGATGTGGCCCATCCATTGTAAAAAAAGACCGCAGCTACACCCAAACGAAGTGAGAAGAGCGGCAATGCCATGCAAGATTACAACATAAACAAGACCTTTCTCATTATGTCCCCAGGTGTGAGTGCGTTGTGACCAGTAGTGAGGACAGGTGCAGAGCAGATAATAAAATACAAGGTTTTAGCCGCACTTGGATCAACAGAACTTCCTCTAACCTAATGATAATGTGACCATCGAACTCCAGTTTAGAAAACTAAGGACGGTTTTGTTGTGAAATCTGACTTTAGGCTTAGTTTTGATGACATAAAGGCACCTGAGATTTGGCACACGTAGTAGCCCAGTGGACCATGAACCAAGTCAGTACCAATTCGAGTTGCTAGGATATAAGTACGGTGCCGATTTTCTACCAATGTATTTTCGTTGTCCATAACAACTGACAGAGTTCAAATGTCCAATGGCTATTACTAGACAGCATTAGGTGCTGCAGGACGACACACCGATGGTGATGATGACCGTTGCAGATGTCGCAATACACGCCGTCATGGTCGTCTGCCCACTCCCACATCGCCCGTTATGGACTGTCAAGAAATGGGCTAGTCGAACAGCTACCGATAATATGAACTCCAACAGTGTCAGTACGTTTCGAAGCCGATATAGCTGCAAACATGGAAGAGAGTAATCAGGAAACGGAAGTGCAGCAAGACTGCAAGGAAGTCAAAAAAGAATGATAGGCTAGATATAGTGAAACATGAATTAGCAAAACGAATAAGTACTAGAAAAGGGGAGCGCAAACAGCACTAACTTGGTCGTTTGGGTACACGATATATGGTGCAACTTCGTCCAGACAAATATCGATCCAAAAAGAAATGGTTGAGAGAAGACTGGACAAAAGTCACATTTTAGGCATACTAAGATTGCAAATGCCGTTTCGATTAAATACTTACACCAAAAAAGGTCAAGACAAAAAGTTTCATGTTACCTCTTGTTAACAGATATGGTCAAAAGAGTAGGAAGGATAAAGCTGTATATGTCGATGTGACCTCCCAGGATTTATCGAAAGCATTCGACCGGCTAGATCAGCGGATACTACTTCCCAAGCTACAGCTTCACGGGATTGATGACCCACTTCTAAGCTGCCACGCCAACCAGCTCCTTCACCGGAAAGTGGTGGTCAGATTTCGTAGCTCCTTCTCTGACCCCATACAAGTTGAATTCGAAATGCCTCAAGGCTTGGTGCTAGGTCCCTGATTGCTTTTGGCATTTATCAATGGCCTCAAACAAGCAATTATATCTAACTACCTACTGCTTGCCGTCGATGTCAAGGGTTGGCGCAAAGTTCAGGGGAATACTGACCAGTAACTACTGCAGAGTGATCTAGACAAGGTACATCAGTTGTCCATCAAAAATTCACTGCAATTCAATGTGAGTAAATGCAAGGTGCTCTCCATACAACACCAGATCAACCACTGTTACGGAATCGGACCGCATCTGCTGCAGCGAACTGCCACCGAATGTTGTTTGGGCGTACTGGTTCAGCATGATTTGGGTTGTTCCAGACAATCCGCGAAAGCTTCCAAAACTGGCAACCAACGTGTGGAACTGTTACGACGGGGATTCGCCCAAATAGATCGCCCTATTTTCCGCCAGATGCTTAGTGCGTATGTTCGTCCTCATGTCGAATATGCAATCCAAGCTTAGCACCCATGGCTACGAGGCGACCTTAGTGAATTGGAGCAGCTCCAACGTCGAGCATCAAATTACGTTATTGGAATGCACCACCTTCCAACGAGGAGAGGCTGGAGCCATTGGGGGTATTCAGCGGATGTTACCGCCGCTTACTAGATGACTTGATAAGGGTGTAGTTAATTATTCACCATCCCCATCATGTGTGTCGCTGTTTACTTCAACTCAACAGTAAAACCAACTTGAGAGGTCACTTACTAAAACTGGTAGAACGGTACAACCGTCTGAATTGCCGCTGGAATTTCTTTTCCGTACGCTTGTCACTCGTGGAATGCTCTTCCAGAATCGGTCATTTCTGCACCATCACCATCCATATTTAAAAGACGTTTAGTTGACGCATTTACACATCTAGACCTTGTAACCGAGGACCACAACACCATTCCCCTCACTTGGAATATACGTTGCATTTATTTGCTTTTACATTTTTGTGCTGTGAAACTACACGGATCGCAGGACTACAGCTAAACAAAAGATAAATCTCTCTTGTAAACGTAAATAACGCACTGCTTTTGTATTCTTCGATAATCCTGAAAAACAACCCAACGGGAATTGTAAAGTATGGCCTCAACCTGGTTAACTTCATTGTTCGTAGTTCACTGTGGCAAACCAAGAGTTATTCGTGTAACACTGGAGTCCGCCATTGATATAAAAACATTTTCCTCCCTGCGAGTGCGCTACATCTCGTGTCTTGTAGTTTGCGTCAATATAGTGAGGTCCCTTGGAGCACGCGACTATCAAAAGGAACATAACAGAGGGATACAGAAACTTGGATTGTCTAAGCACAATCTTGATTAATGGTGTGCCAGAACTTCCTTACCGAGAGAGTCATGAGGCCCGTAAGCAAGATTTAGGATATTGCGGGCTCATTCGTGAAATTTTTTCCTTTAATATCTTTGTGGCGCAATCGCACAAAAGGCTACCTTCCTAACCAAATTATAGAGCATGTACCCAAAGGATCCTACGACACTTGGTTCAATCTGATCAGACAGACACGGAAATGGAGGTTTGTCGAAGTCAGCTGAAAAGCATTCGATCTGAACTTCAGTTAAAAGCTACTGTAGCCGTGCAAAGGCCAAACATGAGCCTTTTTGAAAGAGAAAACCTAGCAGCGATTACAGAGTAGATTTGCTTTATCGCTCAGGTCACGCGATTCTGCAGTACGTCCGGAGAAGAAATGGGACATATTTGGTCAAATAAAGTTGTGAACGACGTGTCATCATTCCATAAAAAATCGAATAACGGCCGACCTCGAATCAGTCGACATGCTAGCACACTTGAATTCTTTAGCTCTTGTAGGCTGTTGGAGACCGAGAAACTATCCTGCATTTATACTAATGCTCATTATATTTTCTATAAGCTGGCCAAAGTTCGAAGCTATGCGATAGTATTGGTGTTGTGGAAACATGTTTGCACAGTAGGATCACAGATACTGAAGTCTCTCTGACGACATGACACTTTACGAAACAACAAGTTGACGAAAGGAGGAGAAATAATTCATTTTTGCCGAAGCGACCTACAGTGGGAGGCGTGGATTCAGGTTTCAGATTCAGATGGACTGGAACGATAGGAAAATCCCTTGAGTGTTCCTTCTTGAGCAAATCGTTGAGCCAGGAAATGATAAGGTGCTAGTTTTTGATAGATCTAAAACGCAACACCCGAAACACATCCAGATCAACCAATTACTGCCCACGTTCCCTGCACTAACAGTCCCCGCTGTGTAGGTTGAGTGAAGTAAAAAAGAAGTAGAAAGTAAATGGAAGATAAAGGGGAATGAAAGTCGTTAAAATGAAGGATAACACCAAAGAGTAAAGAGAATGACAGAATTAGAACTAAAGGTTTGAAGATGGATATGGTCAGGAGAAGGGAAAGGTTTGGTGTTTCCACCCAAGAACGTATAACTGACGCTCGAAACCCCTAACCGTAGGTTCACAGACTTCACTTTCTGGAAGCGAGTTCAAACACTCGATAACTCTACGCGATAACCGAGTTTCCGCCATGATCCGGTCAGAATGCGGCTTGTGTAGCTTCATGGGATGACCGCGAAGATAAGGCAACCTAGCCGGGCTAAATAGCCAGCTCAAGTCCGGTCCAACCTTCCTTGTTAAAATGCGGTAAGTAAGGATTAGGTCTCCTCGAAGCCGTCGGTAGTGCATTGAATACGTGCCCAAGCTAAGTAGACGCTCGGGGCACGATTGTTCCCGTAACCCCTCGACCAATTTGTTACCTACTCTCAAAACCCTCTCGAGCTCCATTTTGTCCCGAACAAGGCAGAGCGGGCAAGCCTGGACGCAGTATTCCAGATGGGGCCGGACGAAAGCTGAGAACAGCTTCACAAAGATGTCGTCAGTTAAGACCCCGAAAGAACGGCGTATTAACCACAACACTCTGAAACCCCTACCTGCGGCCTTCTTCCAGTTGTCACCAGAAAGCAAAGACGAGGAATGTACGACGGTGTTAACCTTATGCAAACCCTTGTCTCTGAGGCATCTGTAGCCAATTGATTGAATTTGCTGAAGAATTCCAGCTAAGCGACTCCCGAGTGGTTTTCAGCGAGGAACGAATAGTTTGTGACACTGACGAGCTGGGCTAAGCAGTTGTAGCGCGTAATTGTGCGTACCATCTCAGGTTCTGGTGATAATATTCCGCAAAGCAGATGAAGTCGAAACTGATGACCTCATGAACGCTTCGACACAACGTGCAGTCTGTGACCAGTACATCAATCATATGCTGGTGAATACAAGATACAACACAGATGGTTTATTACCTGTTTA